AGATTTTATGCAGCTAATTATACTGGATGTTTGACAGTTATTGCATACTGACGGTGAGCTTGTGTGAAGACTGAACTTATGTGCTCTGCAATCTCGACTTAAAATGTCGGTCAATTAATAAAGCAGCACAAGTACGTTCAGGATACAGTTGGTAATCAGGAATAACGTTTGCCAAAGTTGAAACGCCGATTTACCGGCTCTTCGGGGATGCTAGCAAATTGTTCGCTCACTTAGTGTTTGTAAGCTACCAGATACAGCTACAATCAAACATCATGATGCTAAAACGTGGTCTTCATAGTGAAAACAAGATGAATCTGGCTGTCAGTTATCCGGTATGCTAAGAGACTTGAATCGTGTGAGTAGAGGTACTGTAGCTGCCTCTTCAGCACCGCCGAAAAGGCAGTGCTTTTAAATGTGAGCATCGTGAATGTGCGTTTCGTAAACTAGTCGTACAATTCGGTTTTTGGATCTCTGGTAGCATAAGTTAATTATTAAAGGACGAGAAAACCAGCCTTGTGCCTTCAGTTGTCGTGCTACTGCGTCTAATGCTGTCGATACAGATATTATACATAGTAGAGCGACTTTGGGTATAACATCTAAATTGAGCTTTAATGTATACACCTCCTATGTCACGTATTTCCAATCACTGCCTCCTCTACTGTCATTGGAACTGGTATCAAACAGAGCTAGGGTGTAAATGGAGGGGTGATGCAGCCTCTCTCAGCCCATCCGAAACGTATGTTGTGAATCCGTGCTAGTGCTTTAAAGTGTAAGCGCTTCAAAGGTTGGCTTGAGCATGACCTAGCTAGCTGTACTTAGAGCCGTGTTGGTGCTCCCTTGATCATGCAGGGCGCTACTCTGGTGATAATGTTGCCACCGCTGCTGGTGGTTTTCAGTATTTGCGCGACATGACATCCATCCCTACTATAATTTTATACACTGCGTAGTGGGTAATCACCTTTAAGTTGTTTGGTGTCGCAACATAAAAACGTTTTACGATTTCTTCCTTGACCATAGTCACTTAGTAATCAGTACGCCCTTATGAACTCTGCTGATGATCTTTAAGATGTTGATTGGAAATACGTGAACATAGGAGGCATATACATTGCATTTCAATATACATGTTCCTGGTAGTGCTACGAGTATAGTGTGTAGTAGTACGAGCCCTAAAGGAATTGATTCGAGATGATGTGCACACCAGTAGTAGGTATCGATTCGATACAAATTTCAAATGAAAAGGTCTTATTTTACTACCAATTTTTATAAGCTTCACAGGTTTCACTCCACAGTAAAGGTTTAACAGGGGTATAAACTAATAGAAAATTGGTGTACAAAACAAAACATAGCTCGACGTAAATGCTCAGAGATGTTTTCACGCCTAAAACGAACCGAACCTGAACCTGGGTTCTGATGAATAATCAGAACCACCAAGAATCAGGAACTGGGTTCTGATAATTTTGGGTATCCCTCTTGAAACAGTAGAACTTCAACCGCCGGCTCAGAACCAGTTCATGCAACTGTCAAACGATCGATATCTCACGACACCATTGGTCAGTTGTGTGCGGTAGTTATAAGCCGAATCCGTGCGGCTTTAGATGGAAGGGATACCCTTTGACTTCAAAGGGTCTCCAAAGCTGAATACAACCACAAGATAGGATATAAGATGCTAACGCGTGCAGCCGCCCGTCGCGACAAAGCATCCCATGCAGAGCAAGATGCTGAAAGAAGACAAGAGATAATGGTGATCGACGAATTTGAGTCACCGCATATATCCGGCCAGCCTGTGCAACGGCGTTGTCAGCTCAGAATTGAAGAAGAGATCGATGGAAACCAGCACAGACGCCAATAAGTTGTACAAGAAGAAATTGTAAGCTTAGAAGGGGGCGCAAATCAAGAAAAAATCTATGAACACGCGCTAATAGAGACCCAAAATCGTGCAATCGAGCACGAAAGACACATAGAAGGGCGCATGAACCAGTTGGTCGCTCACAACGACCACCAGCTAGCTCAAGCTACCGAAGCCTCAGAGAGAAGAATTGAGCAGCCATTACAAGCGCAGCTTAATCAGTCTCACGAAGAGATTTGCTGAAGAGCGAAAGCTGAAACGCTGCATCTGCAGAACTCACTTCAAGTTGCGTTGGAGAAGGCTGAGACGGCATCTCACGAGCGTCATAAACAACTGACAACAGTACAAGAATCGCAGATATCAGAGTTGTCGGAGCAATGGAAAGCTCAAATTGCGACAACGTTTCTTGAGCAGGCGTCGCCAAGTACATCATTAATGGCCGATTTGGAAAACAGGCTCACACAGGCCAATCATTTGATAAAAACCGATATAAGAGCATATGCTACCCATGTAGACACTCGTATGGAAGACACTGAGAACAATGCGCGCATATACCGTAAAAATCGGCCCCAGTGCGACATCGATTTTTGGTCAAAGTCAAGTCGAATACAAAACCTCATCAAGGTTTTTTCAATGAACCCTTTAAATGACATCCGTCCTAAACAAGCGGCAGATCGTCTTTTAGAGATCTGTCTCTGGAGGATGTGCCACCCATAAAAATGGGAACATTGCACTGGACCCGCTTGTCGCACTGGGGCCGGTTTTGACGGTACACAGACAACCAAATGTCCGATGTCGAAACCCGGATTCAACAAAAGCTTGATAGCTCTACCCAATCTCATCGCTCAGAAGCGAGACAGCAATCCGCTGATATCGCTCACCAACTGCAACTGCAGCTTCAAACTACTCAGAAACGAATCGAAATGAATTGTCGTTTAATGGAAAGCATAATTCAATCGAAACAGGACCAACGAATTGGAGAGATGCAACAACAAACAGACACGCAGCTTCGTGATTTCGGCAATCGCTTCAAAAGTACCCAGCCCGAGTTACCTCAACGCGTTGAGACTTTGGTAAAGCTGAGCTTGGAACTACGCAACGACTTACTTCAAGACCAGCTTCAACAAAAGCGTTTGGAAGCGCAAACCCAGCACCTCCGTGATATAGAAACTAAGAACCAGAACTCTCTCGCTGCTATAATTGCAAAACTGGACAAGGCATCGGCGGAAACGGCAGGCTTACACACAAAACAGGAGCTGTTTGAAAGTAGAATTGAACTAGCCATGCAACAGACAAGAAAAAGAAGTCAACGAGCACCTGACGTCAATCATTCTCGGCTTGGACAAGCGGCACAATCCATGGCAAACCACACCCGTTGCAACTATCATTGAATCCTCTCAATATGTATCCGTTGCTAGCGAGACCCAAGCACCGATGTCATTAGAGGCGAGACAACTCGACATTCCGAATGCAGTAGTGAATTCACCAAAACGAGGAACAAGACCACTACCTGACACGCAACATGGCACTCAAGTACTATCGGGAGGCATGAGCCAGTCCCAAGAGTCAGAAGTACAATTTCAGCAAGCTAGCAATACTGAGAATAATTCATCGTCACCGCGCTCGGATGGACGAGCACATCAATCATTGGATCAAGTAGCTTTAAGCAGACTGAATTTGGTTGAGGCTCGCAGGGCTGCACAGCGTGGTGTGGAATTACGAATTCGAGCAATGTATGCAGCATTACGACAAGAAGCCATGTTGCTAAAGTGATTAAACTCGCCTCACTCATTTAACTCGATCCGTCTCCGCTCTTGACCAAATCACATCAATAGTTCAATTCATATCTGATCGGCCAGAACCCTGTCATTTCGTTACATTATCCGCGGTAGTGTTTCGGCAATGACATGTATCCGAACTTCCGACTTGGAAGTGTTATCGATGCATTTAATACATATACTAGCCCTCTGGGCAAGGTTAGCTGGAGCAGTAACGAGAGCCGCCTCCACTGAAGCTTGACGCTGATGCGGCATCGTGTTGCATCTTCAAATGTGTAATCAGCGCCGATGAAAGCAGCAGAGCCGATTTCGAGCTCGTTGCAGAGTCTTCTGTACGCGTCCGCGAGCGACATAGCCACTGATGCAGCGTCTCGCTGATTTATTCCGTGGGCGTTTGATGGACGTGAAGACGTTCGTTCGAAGAGCTGCAGTGCGCGCTCTCGAAGCGTTTCTGATGGGCTCACGCAGGCGACACGGGTTACACATCGTCCAAGAACGACCAATTTGACAGCCACGCGCGCAATACAGACTCGTCGTTTGTTGTTCGTGCGCAGTCTATGAAGTCGTTGTCAGCGATTCTAATCAAGTTCCCACGCGATGAAGAAGCGCACTGCCTGTGAGGCCTAGGTGTTCTCCCGCTGTGTGTTGACCCGGAGACGAGTGTGCAATCTTGAGCGTTGGAAGCGACAGGAAGAGCTGTGTTTGACCGAGTCCTAATGTAGTTCGAGTCACGTCGTAACAAGTCGCTACGTGAAGCCCCCGACTGCGTTTGGATACAAGTGGCGCATCTTGATGGGGTCATGGCTGGCCGTTTGCAAAAGACATTGCGAATGCCCATCAAGAGCGACATAATCGACGTCGAGAAGATCATCAAAACGTGCGTCTTTGCCATCAATTAAAGCGTGAGTCTGTACAGCTCTGGTCATGAAGAAGTGTAGTAAAAAACGAAAGACGCTACTCGGGCTTCAGCTGGATCGTTTTAGAGGAGTTGGCTCACGCTGGTAATCTTGTAGAGCCTCGCTCGAGGTAAACAGTAGAATCTCATCATATTGGTCGAGTGCTGGAACAAGCGGCAGGATCATGCGTTACCGGTGATATTTATCGATGGATCGAAGCGTTTTTCTGCATGTGGCTACCGCCTTATTTACGGTATTTGACGCGTAGGATGCCAAGTCGATCGCTGACGGCATTTTGGCGTCGCTGCATTCGTTTGCCATCCACGACTGTGCTGGCGGACCACGTACTGCTCCTGGGCTCGAGCTAGGTGAACGAGCTGCTCGTCGCTGGTTCGTCTACTGGCCGCCAACTTTATTGCTTCAAGACATGTCGCTCGGCGCTCAATGGAGTCTACCCAGTGCTGGAACAAGGGCAAGGACATGGCCGTGTGGAAGTGTCATGTGGCTGAAAAGATGGGTCCAATTACGTCTTCAAGTTGCGGCAACTTCCTCTTCGCCGGTGCTGATTCAGGCGCATTTTACGTCTGGGACGTCAAGCCTGGCGAGCTGGTGGCGGTATTCGACGCGCACTACAAGCGCGTGTCGGCTTTGGAGCTTACGTCGGATGATTCGCACTTAGTCACGGCAGGTGAAGACGCGTTGGTGCATGTATGGAGACACGTGGACTTGCTAGACGAACCAGACGCGGCTTCGAGCTTCCAACAAGGTTTCGCACCCGTGGTAAGCTTCACAGACCACGTGCGACCCGTCACGTCGCTGCATGTGGGTCTAGGCGGTGTGAAGGCCCGCATCTACACCTCCTCTCTGGATCGTACGTGCAAGATCTGGTCGCTCAATTATCCTTTGTGCCTGTACAGCGTCTCCTGTCCGTCGTACGTCAACGTGTGCATTGCTGACCCCATGGAGCAGCGGCTTTTCATGGGCTGTGGCAATGGACACATCTACGCACGGAACTTGAATGCTGCTGCCACATCCGTCACAGCAGCGACGGCATGTGTGGCTAATGCTTCGACTGTCAAAGTTGATCCTTGGGGTCCCGAGGCGACGCTGCCGGATTCGTTCGAAGGTCATGAAAGCAGTGTCACTACACGGGGTTGGCGGTGGCGCTCAGTAAATGCAGTGGGGGCACTATGAGGCCACCTGTGCCTGCCAAAGGCTCCATTGACAAGATGCTTTCCCGTGCTGCCGTTTCGCCATCATTCTCAAATTTGGGTTGTGTGACTTCACACACATGCGAGGGGTGTAAAAGGACGTGATGCCATCATGAGCTATGATAACAACAACACATATCGATAATGGTACACTCTGTTTAGCTGGTACTTCGCACCACTGCAAGTTGTAAGTTCTGTCATCGCTGATGCCGACTACATATGATCCGCACACTCTTCAACTAATCAAATACAAACATCGAGACGCACAGCAAGCATACGGTAGGCAATTTGCCGTTCATATATTCTCGATTACGAGCAATAAGAGCTGCTGAGCATAATCTTTTTCGGTGAAGTGGTTCTGCTGAAGTTCGACAAGGATGCCGACAACAGCGGGGAAGCTGCTCTTCTATCTGTTAAGTCGAGTCTGAAGTCGCAGGTCCAGCCTTTTTTGCAGCCCCGGTTCGTCCCTATCAGTCAATCTCACGCTACCGGACACGGCGATGAAAAAGAGTCTTCTGTTATTTCCGAGCCTGTCCCCTTACCGACTCCAATTCATGTGAGCGCCTTCGTGACTCTAGTCAAGCTGTGCTTACGTACGAAGATCTGGCCAAGCAGTGCATGACGAAGTTTATTAGCGACCCCCAACTTGCGAGGTACAGGACATCTGCTCGAACATCCTCGTAATCTTGTGCGATCTCTGTATTCGCTACACGTCACTCGTGGACGCATATGTTCTGACTATTGCGCTGTCGCGGTTGGACAAAATTCGCTTGTTACAAGTACACCTGGCTACTCGATTACCATGGATGCGACTACGAGCTCCAAGACGAAGAGGACAGCATCACAAAAGAGCTGGCAGAGGTGCTGGCACGGCTGCGCGCAAAGGACCCGATGTCGTTGGAGGAGCCCGGACGAGAATGATACTCGGGACTCAAAGAAATCTTTGAAATCAAGTCTTTCTTTTTACGGTAATTACGTCCCGCTGCCTCTAAAAAAGGCTTATTATAAAAGACGTCGTTGAAAAAAAGGTGTAAAAGCACACGGACTTACTACCAACTTTGCGCACTCGGTCAGTAGTGGTGTTGACGATCTTCCATGTCGCATTAGCCAATTGCTTGCAACATCACACGGTGAACGTGGCAAAACTCGTGTTGTAGTCAGTGTGTCCGCCAGCGCAGAAGTCGGCCCCACCCTCCGAGTAGCCGTACGGACAACACACTTGCTGGGCAGCGTGGACGTCGGCATCACCCGAGTCAAAGCTGATGATGTCAACGCTGACGCCGTTGGAGTCTTTGGTTTCGGTCGCGCAGACGTAGACGTGGTCCTTGAGCACCCAGAGGTCGTCGCTGGGACTCGTATACACCTGATGTTAATTCAATTTGTTCTCCAGAGCCGTGATGAGCTTGTTTAAGGTGCTGTATTTGGCTTCTGTCAACACGCGAGCAAATGTAATCGACATGTCTGTAGTCGAGGCTACTCATACGCTGATGAAAGAAGTTCCAGCCAGCTTGTCGCCATCGAACTTGCCATCCAAGGTGGAAGTGAAACACGAGTCATGGTTATCTTCGCTGCTGAAAGCTGTCCTCTAGACATCGAAGGTGATGAGAATGGCCTTGGGTTTAACGTCAGCGTTGCCCACTTGCGTGTTCATGAGCCTGAACACGACATCCTCGGCAACAATATCAAATTTTTCGTACGTTTCAGAGCGCGTGCAGCACGAGTCCGTGGACACGGCAGTGCCCCAGTCTCCGGTGGCAAAGGCTGCAAGCTAGTACGTCACTGATCAATTCTACAGGGCATGTATCAAATATGGCCGTGACAAATTCATGGCGAATTGGCAAATGGTAAGTGTGTATTGGCGAAATGAATAACATGTAAGATACATCTGAATCAATCGTCTTCAATCTCAATATTCTCGGAAAAGCAAGCTGCCATGACATTTTCCCACTCAGCTGTGATGTTCAAATAATTGTTATCGTCTTCTAATGGCACCAGCACATTCGTCGGGATACCAGCTCGATAGTCGTCTTCTCGAAGTCGAGGACATTGCGTAACATCGATAAACTCCCTGTTTCGGTTAAGAAATGAACACATGTCAATGTTCATTGCTGAGACGTAACATCGATAAACTCCCTGTTCCGGTTAAGAAATGAACACATGTCAATGTTTATTGCTGAGATTGACGCTCGCTGACTAGTAACCATCATACCATTGACTCCAAAACCTCTCTCGATCTGTATCGAAGATGTTGGGACAGCGAATATTATACGAGCAACCGTGGGGAGAAACTGGTAGTTATTGCTCGTTTGTCGACTCCAAAACGTAAGGATGTGCTCAGCTCCATTTTTTTCGTCGCTATTCATTGCAGCTGGTTCTGAAATCCATCGTTCCAACCCTTCTTCCACACGGGCTTCCTGAACATCTCTGGATGCTGTCTGAGGGGCTGCTTCGTTGGGCTCAAAGAAGTCCATGAGATCTTCAGAGAAGATTACAGGAGGTTCATTCGCAGCCAGCGCAGGTGTCCACTCAACTTCTGGGGCGGGTACAGCAGACAACATTAGAGACTTAAGTCGATCTAGAATTGTTTTTTACGAAGGTAACCATTCGGGAGACTTCATCCTCTTGTAGTCGTTTTTCCGGATTAGCATGATCAATTATTAGCTGTTGGTTGCACAAGCGAATGACCGAAGAGAGGACGCCATCAGGATTCTTCAACTTCGGGTGCAGTAATAACTGCGTCTTGAAGATATATGAAGTCTTTCGTACTTCAGTACGTTTTGTATAGCGAGAGAAAAAGCGTTCATGGAAGGACGAATCAGCGAGAAGTTGTTGAGTCTTCGTTACAGCAGGTGTCAACTCCACTGCAGCAAAATAACGGGGTGGTTTAAGATGCTTGGTGCGGTAATCCATGAGAGCAACAGATGATTCAAGTACTTGTTGTCGGATCTTGAACATTGTGAGAAGAACTTTAGTTTGGTTTGCAGATTCGCTTTGGGCTCTCTTGCTGAGTACTGTTATCGGCTCTAGAAGCCACACCAGCAGAATCAAATTCAGCTTATCAGTAGCAAGTGGAATCCCTTCCGGGGGCGCAAGTCCGACCCGCAGTGCTTTGGCGATAACTTCATCGAGCCAGACCACAGTTGATCCCACTTCTCTAGTATTCTGAGGATAACTTTAGTTAGACCCATAAAACGATGTGGCTTGAATTCTACGAGCGTTCGCGACTTGTCTTTCCGTGTCATCTCGCACAATTCAGCAAATAGTGACCCCATAACGTCTACGTGACGTACCTGAAATACCGCTCTACCAATCCGCGATATCAGCTCAGTCATTGATTTATTCTTTGACTTAGTTTTATCATTTACGATTCCACAAGTAGCTTTAGTTGCAGCATTCGTCATGTGTGGAATGCACCATTCCCACTGAGGTTTCAAACCTTCCGTTAGCATCCACTTCACGTCGGCTCCGGCGTCACTCGTGCCTCCGCAAACGCTGTTGATTGAAAGACCAAAATCAAAAAGAATCCGATCTATCCACCGTTTGAATGGCCCACGAATGCCACCATTGCGCTCACCATACGAAGGACAAAAGTGTCGTGTTCCAAGCAGAAACGACCGGATGCGCCACTGGTTATCGATGAAATAAATCCGCAATCCAAGATATGTTTCTCCTTGTGTTTTTGAGGACCACATATCCACTACAAGGGTTAGACACTTTATGTTTGGTAAGATATTTTCAAGGCTAAATTTCATCATCTCACTCTTGGCGGACGCATACAGCTCAACAATTGAGTGTGTCACTGCTTGAGCGTTAATGGTCGTGCGATAACGCTCATCAGTGACAAGCTTCAGCAATCTCGACTCTTCGTACTCTCCCAGTCTGAACGGTAAATAATTGAGCACAATGCGCATGGTTTCCAGAAGAAGGCACACTCGGGCAGCATCATGTGTGGTGACAACAGCCTGGCGAAGCCTGTCAACCTCGTCATACCGAGTTCGCTTGCGTGCTGATTGAAGTACGGTTTTATTAGAATTAATGCCGTGGACTTATTTTAGATGTTTTGTAGCTTTCGACGTCTTACCGCAAAGCTGTATAATTTGATGGTGTTTGCGACAGCTTTCATTTCCGAGACAAATCCATCCCGTACACGCTTTCCCATCGAGCTCGGCTGCCACTCTAACGCCCCACTGAAAAATTATTGACCGCTTCCCAGCCTTTAGGGGGACCAATGTGAACCCAGGTAATGATGGTTGGAAGCTCTTTATTGCGTCTTGTACGGCAACAAGGACACTGGTTTAATTTGGTTTTACTGCGGGGGGGGGGCTGTCGAAGCATCTCCACTACTGAGCAACTAAGATCTCGAGATGCATCGTCTAGTATAGATGTGCGTTCTGGCTCTTGAAAGTTGTCTTCATCTTGGTCGATATGCCCGGGGGGTGGGCGAAATAACGACGAGGACTGTTGGGTGGACTGGTGTGCCTGTGATGCATCCACGCTACGATGCCGGGCTGGTAAATTATGCGAGCTGTCATCATTCCAAATGATGGCGGTGTTGCAGATGGGGAAGTTGATGCCGGCTGAAGCCGTCGGCGACGGCTCTGGTCATACGCACTGTCACTATCAGTACGAGTGAGCCAGGATCTCATGCAGATGAATCACTATTGAAAGGCCTTGTCCTTGGCGGGGTGCTAAAGTCAGGAGCAATTTGGAAAGTGAAATGAAATCTTCAGTGTCGAATCAAAGACTGCTTCAGCCGGCGACGGTTCTGGTCATGCGCACTGTCACTATCAGTACGAGTGAGCCAGGATCTCATGCAGATGAATCACTATTGAAAGGCCTTGGCCTTGGCGGGGTGCTAACGTCAGGAGCAATTTGGAAAGTGAAATGAAATCTCCAGTGTCGAATCAAAGACTGCTTCAGCCGGCGACGGCTCTGGTCATGCGCACTTTCAATATTAGTACGA